CGCAGGGTGGGCGCCAGGCTGCGCGCGGCCCTCGCGGGGCTGCACGAGCTGCAGGGGCTCCGCGCCAGGCAGCAGGCGCGCGTGTGGGGCGCCCTGGCCGTGCAGCCCCCGCCCGGGCCCGCCGCCCCCCGCGGCCCCCGCGCCCACGAGCTGCGGCTGGAGGCGGCGCTGGCGGCGCTGCAGGAGCAGCTGGTAAGGAGCGCGTGCGGGGGTCGCGGGGCCGCTCCGGGCGCGCGGGGCCGCGAGGACCCGGTCCACCCGGCAGGCAGCAGGCGGACGGGCCGCCCGACCGATCGCGGGGCACCCTCAGCGATTTCGAAGGACGCAGCTCGGTCCCGAATGAGAGGGACGCGGAGGCCCGAGGCGCGAGGCTAGGCATCCGGGCCCTGAAAGCAGCCCGGCCGGGCCGCCCGCGCCGAGCCGCGCATCGCGGCTGCGCCCGGCTCTGCCTACTTCCCGGCGCAGACCGACTTTAGGATGTATTCCTGTCGGTTGGAGTTTGGCTGATAAGAACGCATTAAATCGGTTTCCCCTGCTGGGGGCTACTTGGGATCCTGGTGTCCTGCGCCCGGTGCCAGCCTCCCCCTGCTGCGTGGGTCTGGGGACAGCAGTGCCAGCGTGCCAAGTGTCCCCAGTGATGTGCTCAGGCTGAGCTCTGGGGTCGTGTCACTGTAATGAGATGTTGGGGAGAGCATGTATCCGACGAGGGCCTCTCCGACTTTAAAATGTAACCTGACCTATGAAAAGAGGTGTGTCCTCTGAACGCAGAGGCGGTGGAACCCCACTGGGCCTCCTGGGCCTGCTTTCCCACCGGCCTTCTGCCCCCTGCTAGGGCTCCTCCAAACGCGGGTCCCTTTTGTAGCACTGAAGACACTCCTCAGGTGATTGCCTCGGTTATTTATCCAGTGTATGGTTTCATCTCATGTATTGGAAAAAACTCAGGAGTTTTTGCAGGGTTGCAGTGTTTTCAAAGGAAAACTTAGAAGGCTGTATAGAAAGATGTCTATTTGGTAGAGTTGACTGTAGTACTCCAAGGGGAATGTCTTTTAAATGAGAAATTAAATCTGCCCTGTTTAAAGGTTGCTGTCTTTACAAAGTAGCCTGGATGAGTAGCTTTGCTCTCAGCTTAGCGCAGTCGCGTCAGTGATTTGTTAGCTGCCTCTGGATCAGAGAATCGGGAAGCTCAGCGTCTTAAGATGTGTCCCGGGACTCCTGCGATCTTCCCACATGGCAAGGGGGGGCCCTAACTGTGCAGCCTCTCCTGTGATTCCGCGGCTGCTATGCAAAGGAAGGAGCTAGTTACCGAGTGGAACTTGCATAGGCTTCTCACCCCCCCCTTAACCAGTCATAGCTGCAGGTTTAGTTTACCTGTGTGTGTGTGGGTGAGTGTGTGTGGGTGTGTGCGTGCGTGCACCCAGACACATCCTACCTTTCACTGGAGCTCGGAGAGGCACACAGAGCCTGCAAAGATGCATGACATGCGTGTGGCAGGAAGGAGCTTTGCGATGCTGCTGTGAATTGTTCTGTCCGGGGAGCTAGAACCCAGTTGATGATTAACTTGGCTTAGGTAACATACAAATCAGACTTGTGAGTACTCAGCCTCTAATTACGGTGGCCTTTTGGGAGAGAAGATCAAACAGGGTTTTTTTGTTTTATTTATTTATTGTTTAATGTGGGGACCAGAAGGAACATGCACCCTTTGTCTTGAAACTTTGTTCTTGGCACAGATTATGTGATCAGAAGAGAAGAAAAATTGAATGTGTGTGACACCAGCCCGGCGATTAGCACGTTCACATTTTTCTTACAGAGGAAAAACTAGGAGTGATCCTAGCTCTGTGATGCAGGGTACAATCGAAAGGCCTTCAGCTCCAGCCCCAGGCTCACCCTTCAGTGACTCCCGGCTAATCGGGGCCCCTCCTCCCCACTCCCTGGGGTTAACCGGAGCATGGGTCACCAGTCAGGTGTGGAGACAGGAAGAACTCTTATCTGACCCTCAGCAGCTTTGTCCCACAGACGTTCCCAAGTGAGAATGAGCTGGAGCATTCGGGGGGATTTAAACTGCAGTTAGGAGAAGTCATCACAGTAACACTTACCAGAACGAATTAGCTACACCTTTTTAATTGCTGCGTCTGCAGTCACAACAGGAAGCGCACAGTAGGTACTTTAGTATTTGTTGAATAAATAAATGAGCAGGTTTTACTGCCATAACAAAGCAGATGATTTCAGTATTTACTATCTCCACGTTCTAGATTTCTAAGCTGATGTAACCCCCATGACCTCTGACCAAAGCAGCCCTTACTGTTTGGCCCGTCCTGTGCTCACCTGTCTGTGCCTTCCAGGGAGATTGTCATTCCCCGAGAAGAGGCTGCCATTCCCATTTTTATAAGCGTTACGTTCCCAGCAACACTGACTTGGAAAGATTTGGATGCCCCAGAGGAGCCTGGAAGCTCCATCTCCCACCAGGAGGCACCAGCGGGCACCCCAGGTGGGATGTGAGGAAAGGCTCTGGGGACCTGCAGGGAAACTGGTGCTGGAGAATCTCCTGGTGGTTGTTTTGCTGGTCACGACTTGCCCTGACCCTGAGTGGCAGCATCTCCTCCTCCCTGGCAGGTGCCGGCATTAAGCACTGCAGGAGCTGAGGGTCTGACTCTGCAGCTGTAGTCACGACGTCTGGTGTTTTCCTTGGACCGACCATGCTTGCTCCGTGACCTCTCCGGGGAACGAACTCGCTCAGGGTCACAGAGGAGGGGGAGGCATCCACGGGGCTGGGCAAGGCTTCCTTCTGCGGCAGGCACTGGTTCTTGTTATGCCCGAGGCTAATCTATGACCCTGGCCCTTTGAAGGACCTCTTTTCAAGCTAGGTAGTAACATTTACTCACCCATAGGGCACTTGCAGTGCCATGGAACTCATGCGGAAAATGCTTCCTGTGCCTGTTCTCAGCTTTCAAGGAAAGAACAGGTGTTTTAGATGCCATCTCTGTATCCTGAACTTTGGGACGTTTTTCATTTTTGTCCTCTCAATCTGCCGTAAAGGTTGAGAAGGCTGGAGAGCCGAATTGTAGATGGGGAGCAAGAGGGCAAAGCAAGTGGAAATCCGATCAGTCTTTTATGGCATAAAGTCCACATCTGGAAGAAAGGGCTAAGCCAGATTTTGTGGCGTGTAAAGTCCACATCTCGAAGAAAGGGCTAAGCCAGATACTTGCTTTGAATGGCATTCCCTGGGTAGAATTTCTCAAACTTTTGTGGTCATAAAAAATTGGTCCCAGGGAAGCTTGTCAAATGCAGATTCCCAGGCGTGCCCTAGAGTCTGAGTTAACGGGTGTGGCAGGGAGCCCTGGGGTCTGCACGGATGTCCCGGGGCTCCCAGCTCCTGGGAACCGGGCTGTGCTCTCCCTTACACGGGACCCCCTGCCCCTCGCCCGGGTTCAGGGGATTCAGACAGGATGTGCTGCCCTGCCCCTGAGCCTGAAGGCCTGCGGTGAGTAAGGAGGGCTGGTGGCAGCACAGACTGGCTCGCTGCTCTGGAGGGAACCCGTGTGACACAGCAGTCACGTTTACTCGGCGCTGACGTCTCTGTAACCCATTTTCCCTGCAGAAATACATGGAAGTCGATGCTGCGTGCCTGGCTCCGCAGTGGGTTATGCTCAGTCCTGGTGCCATAAGGAACCTTTGACTTAGCACAGAGTTAGAGACAGAGGAGTCAATGAAAAGCAGAGACATAAAAAACCCCAGCGAGGGACGGGGGAAGGGTTACGGAGGACAGTGCCAATCCTGGGTGACAAAGCCCTGTCGCCATGCAGCGGGGTCCTGGGGACGCAGTAATCATCGGAGGGCACCCGGGGGCCTGCGTGGCTGTGCCCCTCGACACTAATCAGAAGCCAGCAGCTGCAGGCCGGGCTGGGCAAACATTAATCACGAAGCAATTATTCCAACACAAACACGCCAGGGTCACTTTTTCGGGGGGAGGGGGGTCGGAGACGGAGGAGAGAAGCCAGCTATGGAATCCAGAGAGGCCTCCCTTCAGAAGAAAGAGGACGTCGTGATTTGGAAGAGAAGGGGTCAAAATCCATGTTTTTAAACGTCGAAGTGTGGTCAAACAGAGGAACTGAGCTCTCTGCCAGTACCACGGTCTCATTTTACGACATTAGAAGAAAAGTCATTTGCAGTAAAAATTCCCTTCGTTTGTCTAAGTGGGGTTTTTTTGTTTTTTTGCGGTACGCGGGCCTCTCACTGCTGCGGCCTCTCCCGTTGCGGAGCACAGGCTCCGGACGCGCAGGCTCAGCGGCCACGGCTCACGGGCCCAGCCGCTCCGCGGCACGTGGGATCTTCCCGGACCGGGGCACGAACCCGCGTCCCCTGCATCGGCAGGCGGACTCCCGACCACTGCGCCACCAGGGAAGCCCTGTCTAAGTGTTTTTTACCTGGATAGTGATGGGCCAGGAGCCCACCTTTGCTGCCCCCGCCGCTCCGGCTGTCAGGTAGTGCCGTCCACCTGGGGAGCGTTTCCCTTTGTGAAAACGTGCCAGGATGTTCAGGCTACTCTGGGTGGTCCTGGGTGTGTACGTTTTGATTAAATTCTGGTTTTTTGCAGTGTTATGTTTACAGATACTATTACATGAGGCTGGGGGACTCTCGCTACAAAACTTGGAGGCTGTTCTGAGACCCTTGCACTGGGTCCAGAGGAAAGTGGATTTGGGTGTGGTGGTCTGCCACTCACCAGGTGCTGGGCCCTCGGCCCCTACCCCTGGTGGTATGGGAACAGTCTGCGCCAACGTAGTTCTCCCATAAGAATCAGAAATTACCGCCATCTGCTTCCCCCCTTGGACTGACTTCTCAGATTATTGCAGCTACTGAAGTAATTCCTCATTTCCTATATAAGAATTTGAAACACAATTGATCATTTTCTCAAACAGGGTGACCGGCATAATCGCATTCATTAATTATTTGCCTTAAACTTAATTGCTAATCAAAACAAGAAATTTAGGTAGTGGACCTTGAGAACAAGGTGAAGTTTTATCACTGAAGGAGGGAAGTCAGCATTTATGAAACAGTGTTGTTTTACAGACATACGATTCATGTGTGTGTGTGTGTGTGTGTGTGTGTGTGTGTGTGTGTGTGAATGTATATTGTGAGCGTTAACCACATGCATGTGCTATATGTATATTACATGATATACACACACAGATATGTGTGGTTGACACTCACAGTAACCCATTTTACAGCCAGGGAAGCTGAGGCCTGGAGAAGCTAGAGCCTCGGAGGACAGAGTTGAGATGTGGACCCTAAGACCAGAAAGATCCTGCCTCCTGGGGCAGGTGTTCAGGCTGCGCCGATCCCAGGCGCGGGGCTCTGTCCTCCTGCAGCATCCCTCCCTCTTCCCCGAAAGCCCTACAAACCCGTAACCGGTCAAAATGCCACCTGTGGTATGGGAGCTAAGACGCTGCAGAGGCAGGGCCTTTTTCTCTCCTGGGGACTTCCCTGTCCCCCTGAAGAGCCGAAAGCTCAGCCCTCCCCAGGTGCCGTGGACGGGCTGTGGTGAAGGAACGTGGTGATACAGGCACCAAACACAAGGTCCACGAGGCACGAGCCTGGGAAAGTAGATTCTTACGTAGAAAAAGACATTGAAAATATTATCGGTGGCTCCTGCCAGAGGAGGCTGGTTTTGGTCCTCATTCCACTCTCATAAGCTGTATTACTCCGTATTCTTATAAAGAAATGTCTAATTGAAAACTGCTGACAAAGAAAAGTCTGCACTTGGGAAGATATGCTGGAGGCGGGAGGGGTCCTAGAGACTGGCCTGAGTGCTCGGCCTGAGGAAGGGGGAGCTGCCAGGTGGGAGCTGGCCTGTGGGTTTGCGGAGTTAAGTTGTATGTGTGATGTGGCTTCACGTGGAGCCTCCAGTTTCCATTTCTGTACACAGAGAAGTTTTATGTCTCCCTGTTTTCCTTCTGAGAACCGTTTAAGACTTCAGGACGTCGGCCTGAAAACCCACTTGGACCAGCTGGACCAGCAGATCAGTGAGCTGCAGCTGGACGTGCGCAGAACCTCCAGCGAGGCACCGGACAGCGACAGCAGGCCCAGCTCGGGTATGGCGCCCACTCGGGCCCTGGACCATCTGTCCCTCACCCCAGGGCGTGGCACTGCCCGGCAGGGCTGACATGGTGAACCCGCCTCTGTGCTCAGGCCATCGGAGGGTCAGGAGCTGTATGCGAGCCTGAAAGAGCACGTTATTGGAGAATACTGAAGATGAAATACTTTTAATACTTTTATTTAAATGCGCTTGGGAAAACGGGGAGAGAGAGGGAGAGAGTGGGTGCGTACATACTCGTTGTTTAATTGGAAAAATATTGCTTTTGATGGAGAAACCCCATGAGCTTCTCACCTGTCCTGGCTGAGACAGATTCTGTTTACGTTGAATCAGCATGGAGATTGTAAATAATAACTTTTATGTGACAGCAAAAGTATTTTTTTAAGTCAACAGTCTAAAATCAGTACGGTTTCCTCTCCTGCGGCCCTGTGCACCCTCCTTTCAAGGTCACGTAGCGATGGTTAGGGCCGTTCTGACCTTCATGGTCCTGGGCACATGGGCTTTCTCTCCAGATTCCAGGCTCAGACAGCAGCTCAGACGGCAAACCCAGACCAGCGTCTTCCCAAGTACAGTGTTCTCTGCCGTGTCTTTCTCTTTTTTCAGTTTGCAAAATCCTGTCACGGTCTGGGTTGTCAATCACGTAGCAGGGCCGGGCCGGGGGACCTCCCCAAACGCTGCCCCTTCTCTGGTGGCTGCCCCAGATGAGCTTGGCAGGCACGAGGAGGGGCGGGGGAGGATGCCAGGCTCCCTCTTCCGGGGCTGGAAGCCGGAGGTCACACGGGGGGAAGTGAGCCACTCGCGGGATGAGCAGGTGGTGGGCAACAGGAGACACTGGTGGGGAGGCGTCCTTGGCATTCCGGCCCTGGCCCCTCCTCTCCCCCGGACCCGCTTCCCTGAGACCCCCAGCCCCTCAGCGCGGGCCGCCCAAACCACACCGACAGCCTCTGCGCCCCTGTGCAGGCTTCTACGAGCTGAGCGACGGCGGGTCCTGTTCCCTGTCCACCTCCCGCACGTCCGTGTGCAGTGACTGCGTGTCCTCCTCTCTGGGCGCTGTGCTGCCTGCCACCCCGAAGCCCAGGCCCAGCGCGGGGGACTGCCGGCCCCGGTCAGCAGATGAGACCACAGTGTGTGGGGTCCCCCTGACTGCGTGGGAGCCCCAGGCCAGTGAGGGGGGCACCGGCCAGCTGCTGCAAGGCGAGTTCCGGCCCCGTCCAGTGTCCACAGGTAAGGGGAGGCGGGAGCGGGGGCGGCACCAAGCCCCATACAAGGAGGGGGGTGGCCCCCGAGCCCCATACAAGGCTCCATACAAGGAGGGGGGTGGTCCCCGAGCCCCATACAAGGAGGGGGACGGTCCTCGAGCCCCATACAAGGAGGGGTACAGTCCCCGAGCCCCATACAAGGCTCCATACAAGGAGAGGGGTGGTCCCCGAGCCCCATACAAGGAGGGGTGCAGTCCCCGAGCCCCATACAAGGAGGAGGGCGGTCCCCGAGCCCCATACAAGGAGGGGGGCGGTTCCCGAGTCCCATATTTTCTGTGGGCTTTTTTGGGTTTTGGATGGAGGTAGGCATCAAACGCCCACCTGTGTTCCTTGTAGCAGGGCTGTTGCAATAAGAGGCTTCTCGTCTTATTTAAAATGAGCATCCTTTCACACCCTTCCACGGCCTTCATGGCCGCTGCCGGGGACTAGGGTGGGAGCAGCGCTGCAAGTGGACATTGAGAGAGTTCAGTTCACATGCGGTTCCCCCCACCGACCAGGGAAAAGCCTTTCTTTTTCTTCAGAGTGTCCCCAAAGGAAAAGATGCATCTTATTTCTTATGCTAGACATGGGCCGTTAGGATCCATGGGTTTTCTTTCTTGCACATCTGTGAACGCCTCAGGGAAGGTCTGTTCCGAGACCTTGTCCCGATGGCCATGTGGTCACCGGCGCCCCATCTCCCTGGGCGTCCTCCGCACCTTTGGTGAACAAGGGCAGGAACTGAACGTTAGGGTCTAGGACTCACCTTCTAGGCTGTGGCTGGAAGGAACGTGATGGGAGCCGGGTGATGGGACGTGTACAGCGGACACCAGCGTGTCCAGGCGTGGAACATGCAAGGCCAGGGCCTTGTCCTGCCGTGGGGGAGGGCCTCGTGCCCCAGGGTTGTGCTTGCTTCTTCCCTTATTTATGTTCTATTCTTTTTCTCCTTCCCAGGTGACCTTGAAAGAGTCCTGCCGGCTGAAGTGGGGCTCCAGAAAGCCAGGGCACACGCCAAGGCCACTTCCTTCCTCTGCCATGGCATGGACCCCAAGTACCAGTGTGACCTGGTGTCCAAGGGGGGCAGGGAGGTGTACCCATACCCCAGCCCCCTGCACGCCGTGGCTTTGCAGAGCCCCCTCTTTACTCTGACCAAGGAGACAGTGCTGAGCGATGGCCACTCGCCCCCCAGTCAGCCCCTCCCTGGCGCCACAGGTCCGAGCTCCATTCGGACTGGACTGGTCCTCGAAGCTGGCCCAGCCAGCGCCTACATAGAGAGGCTGCTGCGACTGCAGGGCCGAGGGCCCCCTGCGAGGGGCAGTGTGGGTGAGCGCGGACCCCCAGGACAGGAGGCGTCCCTATCCCCGCAGGGGCTCGGGGTCCGGGGGGCGGACAGTGAAGGTGGCTTGGAGAAGCCGGTGTGCGCCCGGGGGAGAGCAGAGGTGGGAGGGGAGGCCCAGAGCGGGGCTGCCCATGGGGACAGCCTCGAGCAGCCGGGGCCTGTGCCCCTTGTACATGCCCTGCACCCCAGCAGCCGTCCAGAGGAGGGCCCCAGACCCCCGCGCGGCTGCGTGCACTGGGAGGCCTGTCCAGGCTCCCCATGGCTGGGCTGTGGCCAGGCCCCCACTCCCTGCTTGCGGGGTCAGCCGCCAGCTCTCCACGGCTGGACGGGCAGAGGCAGGTCGCCGGGCAGGGGGGCGGGGGCGGAGGGCCCCCCTCGGGCCCCCGGACACTGTGTCCGCCCACACTTTGCTGCCAGAGGAGCGTCCCCCGCGGGGCCCCCCAAGGCCAAGCCTGTGAAGATCAAGAAGGGGGCCAGCGACAAGGTGCTGAGGCTTGGGGCACCGCAGCTTCAGTGGGGCGCCCTCGGGGGCCCCCGGCCGCCCCCTGAGTCGGGAGGTGGTCTCAGGAGGCCCACCCCGGCCAGGGCGGCGCCCGGCCGGTCCTGCTCTGAGTCCAGCCTCTACCCCGTGCCTGTCTTCATCCCCCTGCTGGTGGCCCGACCAGAGGGTCACCAGGTGTCAGCTCAGGCCTTGTTCCCCTTAGAAGCAGCCCCGCTGGTGGCAACCGGGGGGGCGGCCCGGAGAAAGCAGCGCAGGTGGCGGTCCTCCGTAGAGATCTCAGCCCGGGCCCGCCCGGACCCCAGCCTGGGGCCCCATAGGCCGGTGGCCCGGAGAGGGGGCGGCCCGCGGCCCGTGTGCGCCAGACCCAGGCCCGGGCTGCCCCGCCAGGACGCCCGAGCCAGGAGCGGGTCGGACGGCTCGGAGCGCCCGGCTGAGCGCGCGCCCCTCTTCCGCTCCACCGTCGCGGAGGCCAGCGGGGACGAGGCCAGCCGCTTCGCGGACGGGGAGTCCGGTGGCAGCACCTCGGAGGGCGGCGGCCAGGGCGGGGGGAGCTCCAGCCGGCGGGCCCCGGCCAGCTCCAGGCCGCCCCTGCCGCCGCTGCCCAGGCTGTGCCGCGTCAAGGCCCCCAAGGCCCTGAAAAGGACCCGCAGGTCCCGGCCGGCCGCCCTGAGGGTCATGGCCACGGTGTGAGGCCGCTGGGCGGCAGCAGGGCCTGTCCGGGCCCGGGAGCCACAGACACAGAGGGACCTTTCGTGGCCGAGGACCGGTCCAGCCTCGCACGGTGTTAGATGTGCAGGTCTGCATCATCTGGGCACTTTGCTTTCCCCCCGAAGCTGCCCTTTGAAACGAGTCCCCTCGGAGGAGATGATGGGCCCGTCCCTGGTGCCTCGCCCCGCAGGTTAGGCTGTGACTCTGGGCACGTCACCCCACCTCGGCCCCAGTGGAGACCTTCACCCAGAACTCTGAGACTGCAGATTTGTCGGGGCGCCGGCCTCCCAGCTGCCTGTGCCGTGAGCCCCGTGCTTGCTTCCCTGCATCCTGTTCCACTTGGGCCGGGCGCTCGGTGTACCCCAGCCTGTTGAACAGTTTCTCCCCAAAAGTGTTCCCTTTAAGAAATGGTTGCAGGACTGTGCTCTGGAAACTGGGTTGGACTATGAATCCAGGTCAGACCCTCAACATGAATAAACGGCCGATTATGCCTTTGTCTTTGCAAGTCAGTCTTTCCCTTTTAGCCTCCCTGCCCTCAGGAATGTAGTAGGTGCTCAACAAACCCTAATCCTTCCCCATCATGTGGACACTCTCTCACCCGAGGCGGGAAAATGCATTCCACATGAGTACACTCCACACTCTTCCCAACGCTCCTGAATTGAGCATAAAAATGCTTTGGAAAAGAAACCCTTTTATGGTGTTTATTTTTCAAAGGGAATTTCCCTCAACTTTTCAGGAAGGTAGGATTTTCAGGGAAGCTGCGTGCGGAGAGCAGCATCTCAGTGCTAGAAGCAGCTTTATCCTGAATTATTCACAGCTGCTCCTGAGGGCCTGGAGTAGAAAGAAGGC